ATTTGAAGAATTTTTTTCTCTTCACTCTCTGGCGGCAACAATCGTCTGGCTCGATGGTGAATCTCTCTTCGAAACTGTATAGTATCCAATCAGTATCCAATATGCATAGACTTATTTCAGACGAACTACCTTAAATGCCTTATCAAGGAGCGCAACAGTTCTGGGTGGATGATTTAACGGAGGCCATTTCAGATTGACCCCTAGACAACTCAATTCTGGTGTCTCCGAATGAAGCTTTAACGCAGAGTAATATTGGTAAATCATATCTATTGGGCCAGTCGGAAAACAGTGGGCAGTTAGACAAGTTCAGTGGTGCAGCAGGTCGACGTAATCGGATATTCTCGACACTTTCTCTCACTGGACGTTTTTTTAGTAATAACTCGACTCCAGCGCCACCTGGCGGCTTCTTTTTGTAAAAGTATTGCGTTTACCATTACCAATGCATATCCCGAATATAAGCCAAATCGGATCATGCGTACAATTTTTAGTAATAACTCGACTTCAGCTACACCTGGCAGGTCAAATTGTGTGCTGAAACTATCTAGAGACCCACTCAAACACACTCAACGCCCCAGTTTCAAACAGTCCCACTTCTCTGCATGAGTATTTATGTCATTGCTTTCATAAATATCGATACCATGTTCGAGTATTTTAGCCCTTAAAAATTCTGCAGTAGGTGTGCGAAATTAAAAAAAAAATCGGTAAAGTCGTTCTCGAGCTTTGCGAATAGAAAAAACGGCTTTCAAAATATATGTATATTAGTATAGATAACTCGACTTCAGCGCTCCCTAGCTGAAAAATGTTTCGCCAAGATGTTTTCCTTTCTATTACCAATATATATATATAAAATATGACCGAAATCGGACGATAAATACAATTTTTAGTAATAAGTTTTTAGTAATAAGTCGATCCCAGCGCCACTTTTCGGGGTGTTCTCTCCGTAACATTTCTCCTCGGGCAGAGATAAACACAACTAAAAAATCCTTCTTGAGTTATGTGCTCATACATTTTACGTAACTTAGTTTCACATATATAGAGATATAGATATAAATTTTTACTTACGGTTAAGAGTGCATTTAATTGAATTAATTAAGGCATTTAACTTTCATACCCTGAATGCGTTGTAATATTTTAATCAGTATATATTTAAGTCCCAAAAAATTTAAGCGAGTGGCAACCCTATCAAAAAGTTTTAATTTTTACCACAAGCAGTGAAGGTTTCCTTCAAAATTTTATTTAAATCATTCCATTTGATGAATCATTATGGAAGATATGGCGCTTTATCGACCGGGTGCAGTGCTTTCAGCTTTTTAAAACCCAATTTTTTTTGGAAATACTTAAATTTGAACAACGTGAGTATTTTTCGCATGTGCGAGCATGAGCTTCTCCTCTTCAAAATGAGATATCATTTATTAAATTTGATAAAATATTAAAGGAGATATCGTTTGGTAACAGGAAAATACCTTCTAGAAATAAGTGTACATACATATATGTAGATTAATGCAATTAAATGCGCACAATGTATGTACATATACAAAATTCATGTAGGCGATAATTACAAAATATAAAACTCATATTAATAGCACTTTGTTGACACTTTTTCTTTGTAATTTACTCACCTCATTAAATATAGAATACGCCAAACACATTGACACCGGATGCAGCGGCTTGTAGTGATTACCGAATGTGTACATATACCAAAGTCCTGGCGCCGGAAATATCACCGTCAGCATATCACATATCGCCATGGCTGAAAATATGGGAAAAGTTTTCATGTATGAAAATAGATATATATATGTATGCATATAGATGTGTAATTAGTGAAAATATGATGGCAGTAGATATCAGTTTACAAATTACATATGACTACATATGTACATCTATAGATTTTAAAATATTTGCTTTTATCTTTTATGTATATTTGGCGTTGTTGGTCGCATAAGAAGTATGACCATTATAAAACGACAATATCTCTACTAATACTGTACAATAAAATCAAAGCTTTTCTAAAATAACGAGGTGTATACAACGGCTTCTGCCACATTACAGACTCTTCTGTGTCAGTAGTGTTTGTCCGATACCACCTTGTACGCGATGTTGAACTCATTAATAGTTACCAAGAGAATACTCGATGCTACTCAAAGTATTGCTCGAAAATACTCGACTCTACTCATGATACAAACAGGAAGGTAGTTTCAATAAACAACTTTTGACGGATAATACAATTTTTTGAAGTTCCCTAAATTGTGAGTATTATCAATGGCCTTACCACTTTGGTAATATTAAAACAATAAATCGGAGTATTTTCCTTCCCATATTTATACCAATGTAATAACATTTCAAATCAAACACCATTGTCACCGCTTGGTATGTTTTTTTGTACTTCCAGATAAGTTAGGCAACGTAAGTTTCGACTACATACATACAAAAAATACGCTTCTCTTCTCTTCTATTGGATCTTCACGGGGTCATCTTCAGGCCATTGACTATCTCCTGGACTCGGTTTTCTATCGAATTTGGAGGCTGCCACAAAAAGAAAGCGCGAAAGGTTGTGCTAGGTTTTTTTATGGAACACCTGGGGCAAGGGATAAGCTAAAAGATCGTGTAATAGTTCTTTCTGCACATTTCGATGCATCCTAATTGGAGCAAGATTCACTGAGAGTGATCCAGCGATCTAAAAAAATTGAAACGCGTTCGCTCTGAACGTGTGGTGGGTTGATATGCTTTAAAGGCGAATACCTTTGACATTAGCTTTTGAAATCTATCTGCCCTTCAAGCAGAGTTTTTGAGAACAAAATTTGTTTAACCTTAAGTGTCCAGATTTAAAACCGTTCAGTGAAAAAAAACGTCCGCTTCTAACTAGAATAGACTTCTCTTCAATATCTATATTCAAGCAAACTGCAGTCCTGAGAGAGGCTTGCAACGTTGACTTGTTCACGATAGCTTCTACACAAAGAAGCCTAACTAAAACCAGTTCTCTTGGGAAGAAGGGGACTTTTTGATTCCTTGAACAAGGAGATCTGCTTTATCAAAAGGTTCCTAGTAAAAGTCACAAATCGAGAAAACTGAACAAACGAGCGCACCGCCATTGATAGTAGATGCGTACATACATACATGGTATGCAGACGGCTTAGAGATGAGGCATACGTGAATCGGGGCGTATAATGATTTACATAACACTCATACGCCCTGCAGAACGCCATATGAAGAGAACGGTATGGCTAAAGTTGCCTGAAATAGGTTTCAACTTCGGAATATAGTCGGTAGCGGTGCGAATGGAGCGCTAATAACATTAACAACAACAACAAGTACGTAATAAAAAAATCAGCCTTTCCATGATAAGCTATTAATTTAGTTTGGTGTATGTACAATGTATACATATTGCACACCATCTTAAAAAGAGGCGCAACTCAAAAAAATTTAGGTCGAATTTTTTTTTGCAAAAATGGATTCGTAGGATTTATCTGCAATTAATGTTTGTAAGTACTTTTTTTCTTCATAATTATATTCTCTAATTATAAAACTACTGTTATGCCAGTTTTTGTATTAATTGTATTAAATCTGTACTATACACAAGCAGTCGTATTTTCAGATCTGATTTTTGAGCTGTGCCTCTTTTGAGGGATGGTGTGCGATATGTGCATTTGTTTTATGTATATTACGGATAGCAAGGAAACGTGATACCATCATTTACATACACATAAAGAGTGATTGGCAATTTGTGCTCAGCTGATTGCTGAGTCTGAAAGTGTGTGCTCCACTTAACTGTACACGTGTGTGTGTGTGTTAAAGAGTATGCAGTCTGGCTTGAAAGTTTGGTTGCGCGGAAATTTAAAACCACTCATTACATTTTCATATATGGCCATAAAGAAATGTATGTAGTTTATGCCAATTAGCTTTAGAGAGATAGGAAATTTGTAGGCAACAAACCTCATTGGCTTTTTAAGTTAAACCCTTATTAAACTTTGTACATTTTAACTTTATCGCTTGAAAATTTCATCGCAAATTTTGTGCAGCTTATTATTTGCACACCAGAGCACATCATTCATTACACACTTGTTTTTATTTTAATTTTAATAGCACATTTTATATACCACAACTCTCTCTACTAACTGAGAGCAGCACAGCGTGAAAAGTGCTTCTAAGTAGTACCTCTTCAAATTGCAAATAGTTTAATGGCAGTTTCCGAGTAAATACTCTGGAACATGTATGAATTTTAATCACAAGTGTGAATTTTAATTACACGAGTAAATGCTTAATTATTTTAACGCATGCTCTCCACTTGCATCACTGCGCATATTTCTAGTGCCTTTTCTATGCCTTCTTGCTTAGTTCATATTTTGTTAGTGTAAATTTGCTTTTGCCGAGCTTGCTAAGTAAATCTGACAAATTCTAGTAGTTAATTAAAGTTGGCACCAAATACAACATATCTGCGAAATTTGAAAAGTGTGCCACCAAGCTAAAAAATATATATCGCAACAATTTTGTAATTTTAATGTAATGTAATGAAAAAAATCACATTGACTATAATATGACGATGATTTGCTAAACAAAAATCCTAATTTTAAAATTTTTATTGGCACAATCGAAATTCGTTCTAAAATTCTTATATACAGATGAGTGCAACTAATTAGCAACGTAATTCAAAACGATATTGCTTGCAAATTATGTTTATTTATTTATTTTTAATAATTTTCACTTAAAATATATTTGAATCTATTTCAGAAACAACAATAACAAAAGTTGCAAAGCTTGCACAAATTGCAAAAAAATTAATCACACTTCAAAAAATTGTCATCAAAATTTCAAAATTTTTAATTAGAATATTTAGAAAATTTTCGGGTATGCAGTTTTGTAGCCCATTCAATTTTAGTATAATAAAGTGCCAGTTTCAAGTCGCTAAAAATTACCGTTGATTTTTTAGAATTTTTTTTGTGGAGGGTGTTGCGCATTTTCTTCCATATAACACATGATCAAAATATTTTTTTACATGGAAAAAAATCCAATTAAAAATTTTAAAATTTTGATGACAATTTTTTGAAGTTTGATTAATTTTTTTGCAATTTGTGCAAGCTTTGCAACTTTTGTTATTGTGGTTTCTGATATAGATTGAATTATATTTTAAATGAAAATTACTAAAAATAAATAAATAAACATAACTTGCAAGCAATATCGTTTTGAATTTCGTTGCTAATTAGTTGCACGCATCTGTATATAGATGAAGAAATTGATATATATGTATATTCTTGAAGAATGCTGTACGCAAATATACCATGGCAATATTTAATTAAGTAAACGCGTTAGCTGCCTGTGTATGATGCTGCGGGGCGTATACTTTACATACACAATCACGGGTCAGTGATTACATTGTTGTAGATCTGCCACTTTTTTGAGCATCTACCACATCTACCACACAAGGTCTGAAATCTACCACATATTCGCGTTTTGAGTAGTTTTATTTTTGCTCAACATAATTTTCTTAATTTTAAGAGCAGAAATTGTCCAACACTAAACACTAACAACAGGCAGAATGGGAGGATAAAATAAGCTGTAAAAGAGTAAATTTTCTCCATATTCAATTTTTCGACATCAAACGAGGTTTTATTGTGTTAAATTGCAAAATATATGATTTATAAAAAGAATTAATTGCGAAAATAATAAAAACCGGCGATTTTTGTGAAATGATTAGCGAATTTCAGTGCATCTCAAATTTCTAAAGCGTTGTTTACTTTTACTTGAGAATTGCCAAAATCGGCAAATCCCAAGTAGCATTTCTGGAACGAGCCACATTTGTTCGCTACATCGTGATGTGATAAAAAGAAAAGCTGGCAGTACTTCGCAAGGTTGCAGAAATCTTTCAAAATATGTTCGAAACTGTCAAGGAAAAAAATTGCCAAAACTCAACGCAATTTTTATCAACTTCAATCTTGCACTTTATTATACTAAAATTAATTTTGTTTTAGATTATAATTAAAATGTTAGCAATTTAGGTGAAACCTTGCAGATTTTTTTTTTTAATTTTTGTACAAAGTTTGATCCAAAATCTAAGATTTATCAAATTTTTTTGAAATCTACCACATTTTTTTCCAGATTCTACCACACAATTTTTTTTTTTAAGTCCGATCACTGTCACGGGTATATGTATGAGAACGAGTGGTTACTTTGACTTTTTTAGTATATTTTTCAAGTTTTCATTTAAATACAATTTCGCAATGAAATATTTTTTATGCAAAACAAGCGATAATGCACTGTCTAAGGTAAGTGTGCCATCATTTTCTACCAAAAACACGTTTTTGTCGAAAAATCTAACAAGTCGTGGTAATTTAAAAATTGGACATAAATTTACGGCCACTTGAAAACTGTGCATCAAATTTGATAACTAGAAAAACTTGGACATAAATCTTCATTCATAAGTTGGTTATTAAGGTGTCAAATTTAAGGGTTAGGGCTGTAGATGTGCAAAAAGGTTTTACTTTTTCGAAAGAGTTGCCTTTTAAAAAATTCAAGTAAAATTATTTAAAAGTCAATTAGAACAATATGAGTATCATTGGAAATGGAAATTTAGGAAATCAGATAAGTGAAATATTTATTAAAACATGGTTGTAGGACGACAGCGGTTTAAGTAGGCTTTAGTTTGGAAATATTTTGAAGGCGGTTGCCACCTATTTTAAAACTCGAATTTAGTTAACCTATACACAAGGAAGCATAAATACATATCAAACGAAAGCGTGTTAAGAAACCTTTAGTTTGAACACTTAGAATATTAATGAGGTGTTGAGAGAGTTTAAAAAGTTTATTTCTAATTACTTAATAAGTTAAATTAATTTTAAGATATTGATATAAATCGAAATTTGTTTGGAAAATCAAGTTCTACTTAAATTATAAGTTAATTAAATTATGTTCACAATGTCAGATGGAGAATATTTAAAAAGCTTTAAGGTTGAAACTACTTGCGAGAAGTCTTTAAAAAGGGTTGCCCAATGTTTAAAACTGAAATTTGAATTATTTAATAAGTTAGATGAATTACTAAAAGATGGGTTTGGGTAAATTGAGCCAATTAGAAAAATTAAATTTGCATCGCAATTTTAATGTCGGACGAAAGAAGAAGGTTTTAGTTTGAAAATATTTTGAAGTTGGCTGCCACCTCTTTGAAATATCGAGTTTACTTGTCTTATACAGAAGGTATGTCAAATAGATATTAAAATATGTGTGTCAAACGAAATCTTTAGCTTATGAATCTGACTAACATTTGGAATAGTTTTTAAGTTTTTAAAATTCAATTTTGGGCGTTTTAACGCCATGCGGGCTCACTAGTTTTTTCTAAAGTCTCATCGTCTTCAAAGTAAAACCGACATTCTGACTCTGTGGTCACGCCTATTCGTGTACATGAAAACGTCATCAATCTGGTCAAGCATAGAGTAACCTGATATCAGTTCCAATTAATCGAATAATATGCTTCCTTTCAAAAGTGTAGTCGATGAACATGTTCCTCCTACGGCTCCCTACTGTCGCGTAGTAGCTAATGCGTTCTAATATGTCCGCTCAATAATTAGGGCTTTCTACTGAAGTAATACATTTTCACAAAAAAATACAAACTTTTCCTTGCTCTTGTTTCACGCTGTTGTTGCCTATGCCAATAGGGCCTAAACTTCAAACATATCACAGGCATAACAAATCTGCGGCATTTCACACGAATATGTAGTAGTTCAATAAAGCCATTTGTCATTTTTCACACGCCTACGTGCCGAAATCTAATTAAAGATGGGTATAATTTCAAATTCATATTTTCATAGAAAACGTAAATGAAAATGATCCAGCAGCGTATGAAATGGCGGATGCAAGGGCATTAAATGAGATGAAGGGCCGACTGTGCGACCAACAGCTGCTGCTGCTACCTAAATTGCCAATAATATCGATTTCATTTTAATATGTGTTTACACTTGCAATATGTTTGTGTAGAGCTACATATGTGTATGTGCTGTCACTTAGAAATTTGTTTACTGTTTACATTTCACAACGCATGCATGCCGCCTCTGGCGCCTCCTCTTGCTGACGCCACATAGCGACATTGCGCCACCAGGGCGTATACTTAATATTGAAATTAATGTTGTCGTTGCTTTCGCGCGTGTTTACATCAAGGATCAGGCGTTCAAATCATTTTGTATTACCCATATGTGTGTATATGGAGACAAATATCAGTGTGGATATGTATGTACATATGTGACAGTGCATATAAGCAAGTATATACATAAGTACATTAGGGTGGCCCTTAATATATCAACATAATGGGACCCTTCTTTATTTCGTTTTACATACAAAATGAAAACTTCTGGAAAAATTAAAGAATTATCAGATTTTAAGTTAAGATTTTGACGAATTTGTCGTTAAAAAAAAAAATATATATATATATATTTAAATGTGTTAAAAAAGTTCGAAATTTTTACGAAAGTTTGTTGATTGTTTTTTTAATATTGCAGTTCTGTTAATGAATGAACTATATATTTTTTTGATAAAAAACAGACAAAATTAAGTAATATCAAAAATTATATGTTAGAACTTTTCAAAATATGGTGCGACTACAATTTTTTTAACAACTGTATTTAAAAGTCCATGCTCTACTCGCAACGTCTGAGGCTTTTCCCATTGATCTCAAACTTCATATGTGATAGTTTTTCGAATAATCTCTGATTTCTAAAAATAAAGTTTATTTATTTCCCAGACTTTTGAAGATTTGCGCGAATTTTTTCGTGACTTTTCAAGATTTGTCCGCATTTTTCGGGTTTTTTCGAATTCTAGTTTTCAGTATTTTTTTTTTTTTTTTAAGAACTGTTGCTAGTAGTTTGTCACTTTTCTGGATTTTAACGCGCTTAAATTTTTTTTGGGATATTTATGAAATTTTAAGAGATTTTTTAGAATTTTACGGAATTTTTCAGAAAATTATATATTATTAATTAAATTATTATTTTTAAATTATTATTTTAAATTAATATATTTACGTCCAACAATTTTATTGAGCTTGGGGTTGTTTTTAATGAAAGTTTTTTGTAGAAAAATAACAATAATTTACATAAGATAGAAATTATAGCTGCTATATATATTCCGGATTTAACCACAGCTCCTCATCAAATGTTTTCATATAGTTCACGTCTAGACCACTGGCTCTGTAAGCCGGCGTTCCTGGCTCGAATACCAGTAAACTCGATGAAGAAATGTGACGAGGATGTGGTGATCTCCGAAAAAGCATCTATAATAGCTACCATGTGTGTTTTAAATAAAACGGCTTGATAAAATTGTGGAATACAAATTGTTATTAGGCCAAAAACTAATTTAAAAAAAAAAAACGTAAGTCATCAATACTGTTATTTTGCAATTTTTTGGATTCCATTGAAGTTTTAGATGCATTTTTTAGTATTTTTTTTGTGATTGTGCAATATTTGTTTTAACTTTTCGGGACCCTTCCAAATAGGGTGACCAGATGACAGGACAGGACACTGCATTTTTGAAAGATAGCACAATCACTTTCTTTTCCATGAGACTTGAGTTTTGAAATGATTGTTTTTATGCTCAATGGTAAGAATTGACAGTTCTCAGTTGAGAGTGGTGGGATGTAGGCAATTGCAAGCGAGGCTGTGAAAATCTTTTTCAAGGTCACCAACAAAAGCCGCTCACTTTCTTAAAGTACAATATATTTCTCATTTTTTTTTACTTTTTGTTTTTTTTTTGAACATTATGGATTTGTAAAGATTTTCTGAGATTTTTCGTAACCTTTTTGTTATATTTTTCGGGATTTGTAGTGAATATTCGAAACTTGTTGTTGCTTTTTAAAATTTTTCGGGACACTTCAGGATTTTTACCGAGAGGGCAAACAGAAATGGGAAACAATTTTGGTGCAGCAAATATTAAATCTGTTTTTGGTAGGCCTTTTGGTGCTGATTAAGAATCCGTAAGTGCAAAGTTTCCATCAGCTCAAGATTTTGAGAAAAACGAGGTCAAAATGTAAAAAAATTGCAAGAAACAAAAAGTGATAGAACCTTCTACTTGCGCTTAAATTAAATCTAGAGCTTTGCACCTTGACCTGATAGTCACTTAAAATCACGAATTTTAGTCGAAAGTTCAAACCTTTATTTAAGGCTAAGTGGAAGGTTCTATAAGTTTTTGTTTCTTTGCTAGGGCTTCTCAAAAAAATCTTTTTTTTACATTTTGAACTCGGCTGATGGAAACTATTTGCTTACGGATTCTTGCCGCACCAATTTCTGTGTTGCCCTATGATACTCATGATCTTGCCGTTTTTCGGAATTTTGGGGGAAAGTTGTAACGAAAAAGTGCATTTTGCTCTTTTAGAATGCCTAAAAAAAAAGTTAAAAACTACTGATTATTTTCTGCTGAAAACAATATCGTGTCTTTCTCTTTTTCATTAAAAACTTAATAGCAAAAACTAGACAGCATTTTTTGTTTGAAATTATTAATAAAATAACAAAACTATTTTGCTTTTACAACACTTACCCATTAGCACGAAATTTGTTGGCGTCGCCAAATGTTTCTTGCTCAATACCAACACTATCAGCGAATTCGCAGCAACCGTAATGATCAACAGAAAGGGCATACAATACCCATATAAAGGCATGCCATATTCCAGCGCGTTATCACAAGTCACATTCCAATATGACCAGTTGGAGACTATATCGAAGGATTCACAGGGCGGCAGATAGTCATAATAATCGCTCGAATTCTGATCGAACAATTGTGTGTCATTGTAGTCATTCGTGCTATCTATAGCCGCTAACATAGCCGCACTTAGGCCACTATAACTGCCAGCAATTGTTGCAGGGCTGTCGCTCCACTCCAAGGCATCATCACCGCTACTGCCGCCAACATCATCACGCGGGTAGAAAGCTGCTATCGCTGTAGTCGGTATCGATGTCGATGTCGGCGTAACTCCACTGCTATAGAACGCTGTCGTAAATGTGGAATTGAAATTACCCGTTTGCTGGATGGGTGCCATAATCGTGGCTGCGACTTCCGTGTCGGTTACAAGACTTGCGTGTGTTGTGTTATGTTGTTGTGCCAGCTGTGCAGCAGTCATATTTTGTCACAATCTATCGAATAAGTACAGTTCTTCCGCCTGTACGCCGTTGTTTTACGCGCTCAATTTGCCTGGGCAAAAATGTCTTTAAAGGGCGAAGCGCGTGGTAGCCTATGCTATATTTGTTTTGTTTTTGTTCTGACTTGGTTGCGGTTTGTAAGCAATGGGATAAAAGGGGTTCCCCAAATGTCTTATGGAAATATCTACGTCTAGTTATTTGAATCTGTTCGTTGCACTTGTGGCTTGGTTTTGAATTTTTTCTCTTTTGCCATTTTAGTGGTTGGTTTTATATTCTTACAAGTTAGTTTTTTCATTATTACATACTTTTAAATTGAAATCCTCTTAGTTCTTCAAAATACATATGCCTGCAAGTAAAAGAAAAATAATTGTTTTAAGACCAATTTGTATGACAACTATAAAGTTTTAATTTCAAAAAGGAATGCCTACATCTACTGCGTCTTCTAGTATGGCAATTTGGGGTATGCTATGCAGATTCCTAGGAGTAACATCAAAAGTACTTCTCCAAGAAAGAGAGGCGGGACTTTGTAGTACACCCTTATGAGACCTCTATAAAACCTATTATTCTTCACACTTAGGTCGAGGCCACGCAATGAGTGGCAAGTGGCTGAGTGGCTGAGTGGCTGAGCGGCTGAGCGGCGCCATACAAAAATGCCTCTCAGCCGCTCAGAAATGCCGCTCAGAGCATGGCCACTTCAATAGTATTTCATATGTTTTAATTAAGCGACTCAGCCGCTCAGCCGCTCGCCGCTCATTACGTAGCCTCGGCCTTAGAGTTTTGTGTTATCCAGGTATATGGGCATATATCAGGAACTTTTGGAGCTTTTGAATTTGGTGGTTATGCATAGTTTCGTAAATATATGGTCAATATATCTATCAGAAGAAAATATATTATAATAAGAATTATTGTAGTGTTTTATCCGATCTGAAACAATACCCGAATCCCAAAACTAGCTAAAATACCAGTGAGTCAAAGCCGTCACTGAGCACTGTTTTTTTTCTTTTGAACGGTGTATTTGCTTTACCGAATATTTTTGAACACTGATATTTTTTTTCTAATAATCTTAAATCTATTTGTATTATAAAAATATAGTACACGTAGGTGTACCGTTGATAGATTATGTTATAAAAATTTAACTAAGTTCTCCTAACTTTTCACGTATTTTTTACTGTTGTATTTTTGAAAATGGCATTATTTAATATTCTACATAATAATAATAATAATAACATCCTAACGGTTTTTACCCTCCATTCCCGCCCATCCGCACGAGGGGCGCAGTCCGCATGACGTACGGAACCAATATTTTAAATTTTTGTGCCGAGTCACGATAGGCAGGAGTTTGTTAAGTGTCGAGATCTAAAACTGTTCAGCTACAGAACTAAATTCATCAGCTGATTTTATGTATTTATGTCAATAATTCACTTATTGAGAGAGGAGAGTATCGCTTTCTTAATGCTGAAAAGCGGATCTGATATATCAAACGTGCTGGAATGAGAGTTAAAATCCTGGCATAAGCAACGGAGTGGGTCGTGCAATTCAAAATTGGTTTTACAAGCTTTCAGAAATATGGGACAAAAGTGTCTTGATACGCGTGACGGAACATTAAAGCTTACATCAGCCAGAAGAGACGGACTTGAAATTGAGCCTGTCAGTAATTTAACCATAAAAATTATACCAAGCATTTCCCTGCGACTGGCAAGTGTAGGAAGGTTAATAAGTTTTAAGCGACTCGTATAAGGTGGAAGACTATATTGAGAATCCCATCGGAAATTTCTTAAAGCAAAAAGTAGGAATTGTTTTTGAATTGATTCTATCTTGTCTGAGTAAATTTGATACCTTGGATTCCAAACCACCGAGCCGTATTCCAGAATCGGCCTAACTAATGTTGTAAACAGGGTTTTAGTGATATACGGGTCACTAAATTCTTTTGACCATCGTTTCACAAATGCAAGTACACCTTTAGCCTTGTTGACTGTCACATTAATGTGAAGATTAAAATTAAGCTTAGGATCCATTGTGATACCAAGGTCCACAAAATTGTATACCTGTTCCAGGTTATGGTTACCTATTATATAAGAAACTGGCAGAACAGCTCTTCGCGAGAAGCACATTACTTTACATTTCTTAAGATTTAGAGGCATAAGATTTACTTTACACCAGTAAGCCATGCTGTTTAAGTCTGATTGTAGCAAAGACCTTTCTTCAATTGAAACGTACGATTTATAAAGTTTTACATCATCTGCATACATTAAAATTTTGGAGAATTTTATATCTGTAGAAATATCGTTTATAAAAAGCAAGAACAGAATCGGGCCTAGGTGGCTACCCTGAGGGACTCCTGAAGTAACATCAATGACGTCAGAGATAGTATTTTTAAACAATACCCTTTGTGATCTATCATAGAGGTATGAAGAGATCCAACGTAGAAAATTAGGTGGAAGACCAAGAAGATCAAGTTTATAGATGAGCAACGAGTGGCACACTTTGTCAAATGCTTTACTGAAATCAGTATATATAACATCAACAGTTTTGCTCTCACTAAATGCTTTTGAGATATAGGATGTTAATTCAAGTAAATTTGTAGAAGTTGATTTGCCCTTGCAAAATCCATGTTGACTGTATGAAATGCTTGAAGTGATAGAATGCGTCAACCGATTTGTTATAATTGCTTCAAATAATTTAGGAATTGCAGAAAGCTTAGCTATGCCCCGGTAGTTCTCCACTGAAGACCTGCTACCGCTTTTATGTAAGGGGGTTATGAACGATTCCTTCCATACAGTTGGAAAAACGCCCTCTTTAAGAGACAAATTAAATAAGGCTGTTAACGGCTCATAGAGATAATCAGCACAATTTCTAAGAAAACAAGTGGGGATCTGGTCAGGACCATAACTAAAAGACTGCTTTAAGGACTTCAGGTAAACTAAAACATCATCGGGAGATATTATAGGGTTATGTATTGAGTTAATTGGACTTAGTTTAAAAGGATTGTCAAAGTATGCTTGGGAGTTAGTGGAATAATTGGATTTAAAAAACTGAGCGAACATGTTAGAAATTGTTTGATTATGACCAGAGACGGTATTTTGATACTTCATGGCGGAAGGAAACCCCCGTATATACTCTTGAAAATGACACCTGAGTTGAATGTGTACCTATAATAGCACCAGAGTTATGAGTATTCGAAATTTAGTAACTGAAAGGAACCTCAAGAAAAAAAGTGTATTTTTCCGCTTGCACACTTGTTTATCGATAGGTGGATAGAGTTTTATGCTAGAAACTGATTGTTCGACATTTGTTTAATGTGTTCATAAATCGTTAAGTATATAAACAAATTTTAAGCCAGTTATCAAGGCGAAAGCTTTCAAATTTTATTCAATTAGATACACAGGACCACAAAAAACTCAATGGCAAGTTAATTTAACCAGACTAGATGTTACATATGTTTTTGGGGTCGCTGAACACGAATCTAAAGTCCATTTTGATCTATTACGTCAGAGTTTTTTTCTAACTTAACTTTTGCCATGTTTTTTGAGGCTAGAAAAAAATTCTGACGCGATTGAGCAAAACGGACTTCAGATTAGTGTTCAGCGACCCTAAAAACATTATGGAACACCTAATCTGGTCAAAATAACAACTCATAATTTTTTTTTTTGAGTTATGTGTTATTTATAATTTGTATAGTTTTTTACTATTCTTCTTTTACATTACCGAGCTTGAAAACTGAGTTTTCATTTTTTTACTAATGTTTCAAGGTTCAAAGAACAAGATGAGATCGGTTAGATGAGGTGCCACAATTTTTATTTTTTTTCAAATGTCGAAAATCAAAAGTTCCTGTGATATGCCCATAAACGAGTTCCATTTTTTTGTCCGCATGGCTCTATTGAACATCACTCGAATGCTCAGAGCTATTTTCGGCATATTATTCTATTTACACACATTATAAATTTACGCATTTATGCACAAATACTACATTAAAATGAACAACGTACAAATCGCCTTAAACTAATTATTCGCTATCTCATTTCACAGCTGGTGCAAAACTCAAATATCCAATTCATTCACCTATCAACCGCATTTCAATTCCATTCAAATTCACACAACGTGTTTGTAATTGCGCGATTCTCAGTAAATTATCTAATCCTTCTAATGCAGGTCGAGTAATTAGCAATCGAATTGGTTTGATATTTGACAGTCGACTAATAATGGAGGCATGATTGCACTTTTGCATTTTCCAATTTCATGCTTTTAATTATTAATTTGCACACTGCCAGGGAATGGCCAGTGTAAATTGAATGAGGTGAATAGCCCTGTGTGTAGGTGAAATGTAAAATTTTAATAAGGATTATTTACTGCTTTTGCGCTGCATACTACCACGAGTTATTGAATTGAACGGATTTATAAATGCAAATGGTTCCTATTGGGTTGTTCACAATTCGCTCCAAATTGTGTGTAGCCGTCTATATTTTGAAAAAGTTTTAGCATCAAACGGTGAGCACCCTTTTCTAGCACTTGCGACTATTTTTTATATATACATATGTCGCCTTTCATTTTGGTTATGAAAAAATTTAATTGGGTATAGGTTTTTGAGATCTCATGAAGGGAAGCAGTGTTTGCGGATTAAAGAATACTGATTCTCGGGGATGCTATTTCTATAAAATATATGGGAAATTTTGGGCTTTTAGAGCGACCTTAAAATATTTTTTTATTAAAGAAAAAACAGGCGTAATTTTTTTCGAAGTGAGACAATCCAAGTGGATGAGATCATTCGACTTTACTTTTCTCACATGCATCTGTTGATCACACGAATTTCTGATTTCTTGGTTGCTAGGATAAGCACTGTTTGCCCAAGATAAAGTTCCACGCTCAGCTGCTGTTAAACCTCAGAAAGCTTCTCGAGAGTTTTAATGAAATACGATCCTGAGTGATTAGGCCTTGACTTAGCAGAATTTTGGCAACTGAGAAGAAAATGTTGAGATTAGTCTGT